ACCTCTTGGACTGGGTGCTGCAAACCTCTTTGCATCCTTTGAGTGTGTCAGGCCAGCCGAAGACAAAGGGCTGCTAGCTTCCCATTGCTTAGACAGACATTCCCCATGGTGGGAACCCTTTGTTTTCCATCCCCCCTTCCATGGAAAAATACCACGGTCAAAATGGAATTCAGTACCAGGTGATAGGGTCACATAGTGGATTTAAAGGACAAACAAGGCTGTTTACAAGTCGTTGAGTTGATCAAGTTAGGCTTCTGGGGCACCAGTAATGGCTCTCATTAGCACATTTAAAGCTATAAACAGTTTCATACTTCCTATTTCTAACTTCACATGCAAGAATGATACATACACTAAAATAGGAGATAGCAGATCATAACATTACAATTAACAGGTTACATGAGGCATTTTGGCTAAAGCACCTGAGTTACACACATTTATATTCATAAGCCAGTTTCCATAAAGTCTGGAGGAAGGGACTGTCACATCTTTGTTTCCCCCTTAGCCAACTGATTGCTGACAACGGGTGTCCCTGCCAATATACTGAGATCTCTGTACCGTTTGTGGTTTTTTGTACAGTGGTACCTTGTACTCGTAGTCTTGCTGCTAATCCTGGCTTCACGTTCTGCTCAGCCCAGTGCATGTTTCAAAGTGAGGTTAGCTACTTCAGTGCAAGTAACTGTATACATTAGAGTACCATGTCTACACTAGGGATTTGCAGTAACGCAGTTACAATTAGCGCAGACCAGGTTCCAGGGTGCAGAACAACAGAAATGGAAAGGTGGGGACAGTTCAGAGAAAGACAGGAAACCCTTAAGGAATTTTAAAAACCTGGGCATCTGCACTTGGGATTTAAAATCAAGATGCATCTACTTTTATCCATCAATCAGTCCCTGCCCAACCACACTTAATATTTCTCAGCCCTGGCAACTTTGTGTGAAGAGCCAACTGGATTATGTTATGCTAGCTCAGCTGCTTTTCAGTCTGCCATGAAAACATTTAGATCATGGGTTCCTAAACTGGGGGGGTGTGAAGTGACCCATCTTCCCCCCATCAATCTCCCCCCCCCCAAGTTTTGCTGCTATTTTGGGGCGGGGGAGTGAGGGTTTCTCAAAAATCAAAAAGGGGGCGTGATGCTGAAAAGTTTGGGAACCACTGGTTAGATGTATAGTGGAAATCGTAGAAAAGCTGAAATTGATTGGCCTTAATCTTTTGTTTCAATTCAAAATACTTTTGGTGGGGGGGTGGTTTAAATTGACTAGGATTTTGTAGAAAATGGGGAAGCACAAAGTGCTTGTTTGGCATCCTGCTGGATGATAGCTGGTGGGAAGAGCCTGGTCCATTGCCAAGGAGGAAGGGTCAATTTCTGGTGACTCGTTGAAAACTGTGTGGTCTGGCTGTGCCTGCCTGAGAGTGACACGCTAACCAATTACTGTCCCTTCTCTAACCTCCCTTCAGGAGTATTGGATCCTTGTAAGTCCCTGGGATATGCCAGCATTGGTCTGGTCAGTGGCCTCTGCAGGGCAATGGAGAGAAGTCAGGAGGTCATGCCAATATTACTTGGTCTATCAGTAAACTGCCAGGCTCTTTTTTGTGCCCTAGTGGAACGTGGGCAGGAACCAGCGAGCAGTGATTGGTGGACCTTTCCTCCTGAGGAATGTTCTAATAGATGGTCACCATTTGGCTCCAGCA